TAAATATCTAAAAAAAAAAAAACCCCCCAAAAAAAAAAAAAAAAAAAAAAAAACCCTAAATCAAGAGGATATAAACAACTTAAAGATCTGTAACAAGCTATGTGTCTGAAAAAAATTTTCCTAACAAAAGTCCAGGAAGGAAAGAATTCACAGACAAATTCAAGTAGACTTTTAAGTAAGAACTAATACCAATGGTTGTCAAATTATTCTATAAAAGTCTCAGCCAGAGCAGTAAGGCAAGAGAAAGATTTTTTAAAGTTTAAAAACTCATTCAATTTTATGTCTTACAGGGCTTATACTGAGTTCAATATTATATAACTGTATTAGTTCAACAGCGAACCTTAAAATTTTATAGCCACTTTTGAAAGAGATGTATCTTTGCTCTGGAAACTGTTATTGAGTGTGTTAAGGCTGTAATGAAATGCTTCTTCTGGAAAAAGGCATTAAAAAAAAACTCCCTATGGAGTACTAGCAAACTCTTAGAACTAGTAAACACTTTCAGCAATGTAGAAAGGTACAAAACCAACATAGAGAAATCAATAGCTCTGCTACAAATGAAGAGCGTGACAAGAACGTAATCCATTCACAGTATCTTCAAAAGTACCCAGGAATAAACCCAACTAGGTGGGCAAAAGAACGTTACATCGAAAACTTTAAGACACTTCGGAAAGAAACTGACATTCCAGACTCATACATTAGCAGAATTAATAATGTGAAAAGAGCAATATCATCAAAAGTGATTTACAGACGCAATGTGATCCCCATCAATATTCCAAAGACCTTCTTCAGAGAGACATGAAAAATGATTCTAAATTCACACTGAGAAAAGACAGCCTCTTAAACAAGGTGTTAGGAAAACGGGACATCTACATGTAGGTGAATGAAACTAGGTCCATCTCTCTCACCCTGTTAATGATTCAATGACTTTATCTGCTAGACCAGAAACTCAGAAATTACTAGAGGAGAGCATAGGAAAAACATTTCATGATATAGTTACAAGACTTCCAAAAAAGGCCTTCAGTAACTCAAGAAATAATAGCAAAAATCAGCTAATGGAACTGCATGGCATTAATAAATGTATGAACCAATCACCAGAATGAGGAGAGGATGGGAGAAAAATCTTTGCCCACCATATATCAGACAGAGGATTGATATCCAGAATATATAAAGAACTTCAAAAATTAGATATCCAAAACCAAGCCATCCAAATAATAAATGGTCTAATAAACTGAAACAGATGGATACCCAGACCAGAAACAACCAGAAGATGTTGGTGAAGGTTTCAATAACCTTAGCCATCAAGGAAATGGGCAGTGGAATTGTTCAAAGGTTCCATCTCGTTCCAGGCAGTCAGTGACTATCATCGAGAAGACAAGTGACAACAGTTGTTGACAAGGTTGTGAGGAAAGAGCAGCCCTGACCCACTGATGCTGGGAGTGTGAACTGCATGGCCACTGCGGAAATCCCTGATGGATAGCTCCTGTTTCTGACAGTTACATTTGTCAGCGCGCTTACAGTTAGGACCACAGCAATGAACCCAGATCACCAAACCCAGTAAAAGCTCCAGATCACCAAACCCAGCCCCAGAGTCAAGAGGTTGGCCTCTACCTCCACAATCAGCGTTTCGTTGGTTGGCCCCGTGGAGGTTAAGCTCTCAGGCTCCTTATAGGACCGTCTGTAGTTGAAGGCAGAGCCTGAAAATATGTATCGTCCAGGCCAGTCCACAGTCCAGTGTCCATTCAGGTAATATCTCTTGAGGGAATTGCGCACAGAAATGTAGGAGGTAGATATGTTCGTTTCATAGATGCGGATGCTCCTGGCTCCAGAAGGAATGGTCACCATATGGTAATACTCTGGACAGAGAACATGGGGTATGGCATTTAGCTCCATCCAGCTTCTCTATTAACCCAAATGTGAGACTCTGTGTTTGGAACTGGCAGACATGTTGCAGTTCCCCTCTAGACATCTGTAGACATCTTGTTTTCATCGCTGAGTCAAAGGTTTTGTAATTTTTCTCTCTTTATATGGATCATTTTAATTGAAAGACCAGCAACCACTTACAGTTGAAACCAAACCAATGGGCTCCTAAAGGCTGGGAAGTCCCAGTGAAAAGGCTCAGCACCCTAAACACCTGCTGTTCCCTCTCTCTCTCTTTCTTGTCTCTGTCTCTCTCTGTCTCTCTGTCTCTGTCTCTGTCTCTCTCTCTCTCTCTCTCTCCTCCCCTCCGAAGATCTGGCTCAAAATGAACACTGGGATATTGTGCTGCACAGCATCAGTTGTCAACTTGGCACACCTGAGTAGATGGAGCCTCAACTGGGGCACTTCCTCCATTGGACTGGCCTGTGACCATGTCTGTGAGGCATTTTCTTAATTGTTGAGTGATGTGGGAGGGCCCAGCCCACTGTGGGAGATGCCACCCCTGGGCAGGTAGACTTGTGTTGTACAAGAAAGCAGCCTGAGCACAGGCCAGGGGAGCAAGCCAGTGAGCAGCATTCCTCCATGGCCTCCTGCCTCTAGGTTCCTGCCCTGAGTTCCTACCTTGGGCTCCTTAAGTGATGAACTGTGACCCAGGAGATGGAAGCCAAGTAAACCCTTTCCTCCTCAAGTTGGCTTTGATTAGTGTTTAATGACAGCAATTGAAAGCAAACTAACATAGATACTCACGGTTGGTATGGTGGTGTTTGCTGTAGAGGCCCCTGTGCACTGTGCAATCTGAGTTATTCCCTTTGCAGACCCCACAGGAGTCCTCAGCAGCATCTGATCCAAGGACATTGTCACAACCAACCCTCTGGAGGACCCACGAAGGTCACAGGTCATTCATGAAAGACAGGACAATACAGGTGACACCATTACCAATCATGCAAGAAACCGCCTCCCCACTACAGCTGAACAAGTTTCCAACAGAGGGTAGTTAACAAATATTTATTGGATACCCGATATGTGCTCAGTGTGGCTGGTCCTGCTCTGCAGAGGCCTCTCTTGTGAAATTCAGCCAGCCCTCTGAAGCACTGCTCACCTATAGGGCCCTGAGCCTTAACTTAATGCTGTGGGTTGTTGTGTTGAAGGCAGGGTGAATTTCAGACTAATACAGGCATGATAGGATGGCGAGCAGTGTGTTCACACGAGGCTCTGCTGAAAAGAGTCAGTGTTTCTGAGTTGCCTGGTGCAATGGGCAGGAAGCGCCTGGTGACTGAAACTTCCCCAGCAGTGATTCATGAAGGGCGGATCTGGGCAAAGCCATAGAGATTAAGGAGTTCTTTACAGTTTTTATGATTCTGGCTTATTTCATACTTCTTATCAAAGATAATAGGCTTTACATGTAAGAATAAAATCTATTAAGAAACAAAACAATCAGCTGTAAACCCTTGCTTGAAATCCTTGGGGTCAGATGATTTTGTAGGAAGAGAAACTGCATCATGATTATACAAAGCTTATGAGCACCTATGTAGGGCCCGAGACCATGTGTAAACACTAATGTGTCCACAGCAAACATTTATGTGAGTGGAACAGAGAAAACCTACCAACAGGTACATCGGTGCAGGGCATATTTTGACACTAAACAAAATTAAGTCCTCCAAAACCTCTCAGAGCTTTTTGGGCTAGTTGTTCAGCCTTCTGGATTTTGGAGTTACAAATATAGAATTATATTTTAAGTGCTCTTGAAGAGTACTCAGAATGGCGAACTCTTGAACACATCAACCGGTCACTGGAGGAACCCTGAGGATTGTGATGATGTGGGAAGAGATCGCTACGGCATTTCACCTCCTCTCTGTGAATGTGGAAGGGTTCCAGGATGACGCTCAGTGGAGTCTACGTCCACATAGCCTACAGGGAACTAGAACCAGACCCAAGGTCGACTCCACAGAGCCTGTACACTGATAGCTTCTGGTAAAAATCAGGTGTTCACATGTAATGTATGTGGTGCAGCCGCAGCCTGACCCTGTTTGTAATGAACTCTGCCCACCCTCATCTTTGTGAAGGTGGGAAGTCCCCCTCCTGGTGGTGGGCTCTTTCCCCAGCTGTCTGCCACATACCTTTTCCTCATGCTCTGCTGCAGAGGCGATCTGGGCTGCCCATCATGTGGAGATTATTATGACAGTTGAAAAGCAGCCCCCAGACCCTCAGCTTCCCAGCCTCTACTGAATATTATGTGGAACACTGCCCAGGAACATAGTAATTCTGCTGTCCCCAAGCCCAATGTCTTCTCTACATGGTGTGGAGATCAAACCTCTGCTTGCTAGCCTGGCAGTGGCCATACCTGGCGAGCTCCTGGTCCCCTCTTCACTTCCCTCAGCATCCCCCAGAGCCTGCCAACCTTCTGAGCGCCCCAGGGGCCTTTTGGAACCACTTATGCTCTGCTCTCAGCACAGGTCTCCCAAAGCCCTCTTTCAGCCCTAGATATGATGCTCCCTCCTCCTAGGCACCTGCAAGTGCTCCAGACCCTTGTCTAAGAACAAATCAGCTCTCCCTTCTCCTCAGGCTCTGTACACACCTCCATCGCAAAGCAGTCATCAATATGAGCCTCTCTTGCTTTGTCCCCCACTGGGCTGTGACTTGGAGGGAGGGCTCCTATCATATGACGGGTCTTTCTAGCCCCTACAGGACGCCTGGCATAAAGCAGACCGTCTGGAGACATTGGTTGAAGGAATAAGCAATCATTATTACCTCACACATCCCATCTACACAAACATTACGGCTATCCTCCGAGCATGGAGTCCCATCTCTCACTTTATTTGACAAAGAAAAGAAGAAATCAAATCCTTCTGCGATACAGTAGAGTTTGCATAAGTCCTGATCTTAAAAAGAAATACACACACAAACACAAATAAGAGAGATACTTAAGCTCGGTTACTTTTGCTCTGAAATTTAGATAAGATTTTCTTTGGTTGTTTTCCCCCATAAAATAACTCCCGTACAACCACACATTGTAAAAACATTACTGTTTGCCTGACTGGCCTTGAGTTTTTCCTTTATATTTGTTATTTTTGTTATTGACGCTACACTAACTTTTTCTCCAGTGTTCCTTACCCGACTTTTTCTTTATATAGTGGTTGGCACATAGTAGGCGTTCAATAAGCATTTGTTGACTATAACATTCATGACTTACTATATAATTAATGAGTGTTATAGGAATGCACAAAAGATCACTAGCATTTTGTACTATTTAAAATTCTTACAAACGTGATAATGTGTTTGATGAAATACATGTACGTTTTAAGTCAATAAAATGACTTTTAAATGAAAATCCCAGGATAAAACACATTTTATAAGAACAGTGGTGCACAGGACCCCCTTCCTGTGACATTCTGACTCATTCTCTTGACAATCCACTCAAGGCCTTACAGTTTCTATGGCTGATAAAACGTTTTGCTGGAACTCTTTGCTTTTTTTTCTATCTCGATGAAGGACTATGGGGAGCCTAGTTGCCCAGGGAATTCCCATAGGCTTGAGACTCACCCAAAGATACTACCTCTTTACTCAAAGAAATCTTACTGAAGGACTTTAAGAACAAATTTAGTATGACCGTAGCCTGACTAACTGTATCACAGACTAGCGAAGTCATGGGTAGCACACAGACTTGACCTTGACGTCAGAGTCAGTCCTCTTTCTCTCATGCTCTGCAGTCTGGTTTCCTTCTGTTCTAGGACTCTGTTCTCACGGGCTTCAACTGGACAGTCTATGAGGGAGAGCCAAGTGGCAGGTGCCTTGTGTGAGATGGCTCCTGTATTCCCAGCCAGGATCTAAAGCTTCACATTCTGCCACTGTGAGACTGTACAGCGGAATGATGGAAGTCAGCTCTAACGCGACGTCTCTGGTTAGGGAAACCGGGGGTGGGGTGGGGAGGGGGGCTCACTGCCATTTATGTAGACCGTATTCTCAGTTTCAAAGAATGAGATAATTTGACACCTTTCAAATGCCTCCTGAGCCATACCTTTTAGACCACCAAAATCTTGTGACTATCTCTTTTATGTCGTAAGATCAAACTTGACTCCTTTCTCTCCTACTGGTAAGTGAAGTCTTACACATATTACAAATAAACTTACTTCACAGTTACAGCATAAGCCTTTCTGGGTATAGTATACTAAACAATATTTGTAAGTGTGAAGCAGGTGACATGGTTATAGTAACATTGCCATCAACTATCATGATTATTAATTCTTTGTTTCTCTTAGACAGGGTCTCCCTGTAGCCCCCGCTGGCCTGAAGTTTGCTATGTAGATCAGGCTGGCTTCGATCTCACAGAGCTTTTTCTGCATCTGTCTCCATAGTGCTGGGATTAAAGGCTGTGTCACCATGCCCAGAGAGGATTCTTAATTCTTTAATAACCATTGATTCAACATATTTGCATTGTGGATCTCTGGCCATAGAGATCAAGCTGAGGCAGATAAGATGCCACAGCAGTGGGGAAAACCAAATCAAACCAGTCCCCAGAAAGAACTGTGTCGCAGTGACCCCCAGAGTCATGCTGTCTGTCTATCAGAACATCGCAGTGCTAGTCACATAATATTTAAGATGTACAGGCCACAGAGCACAGGATACCACAAGAAGTGGGGCTGGAGACTTACCTTCCACTCGGGTGTATGGCTTCCACTCATAATGCCATCCCCGGAAACGTTTGCTGTTGTATTCTGCACACTGGGCGGTGCGGAAGTCCACGCTGTCCTGGGGACATTTCTGATTGTTGCAAAGCTTCAGTGTACGTGTGGAGCCCTCGCAAAACTTCCCTCCATGAGATGGTCTGGAACACGTTTTGTAATTAGAGATCCACATGTTAGCATCTGTGCAACTCTTTGTGGAAGTAAGATGTTCCAGAGTAATGGAGCTGGTGATACTAATTACACAGAGTGGGCAGTTACGAAGAGTTTCTAATTCCCGAGTGACCTGGTCGTGATTTCCTGTCCTGCTGATGCCCTCATTGGTGGTGCCGGGGGGCAAGGTAGGGTTTGAGATTCAGGTCTGCAGGGGCTTGTTGGCCCCTAGCATCCTCTGGGGATGGATCTCCCACATCTTACGAGGGAGAGCGTGGCTTTTCCAGGACGCCCCTGTTAGAGAGTGCAGAACTGAGGCTGAAAGTCAGTGATGTCTCCCCAGATACCAGCTTCTTTCTGTTGTCAGACTCCTTGTGAGAAGGCCAGGACACTGGGCCATGGACCAATCCAGAACATGACCTGATAGCCCAAGCCTCTGCTTGGCCCTGGAGAATTCCCACAAACACCATGGAGCACTCAAGCGGACAGTGAGGCAGGGCGACTGAGGGCCTCAGGCTTTCTATACAGGAGCAACAAATTCGCATGAAATAAAGTAGCATGGCTTAGTTCTGAAATCAGTGTAGGGGCCCTTCACTTCCCCACCTGAGTGACTGTCTCTTTCAAATCTTGTCCCTCAATTAAGCCAACTATTGAAAAGTGAATATATTTGATGAAAAACAAATACATTTACACTTGAAAGAACTGTACTTGTTCATTTGTGTAATGTTTACCTTCCTAATGAATCAGCTGTTTAAACAGAACCTTAGTATTTCAAGGCATGTAGTGTAAACCCAGGTCCTGAATCTCACTCTTGGCTCTGTTACCTTTTTGCCGGGGTCAGACAAGCATCTTAAGCCATCTGAAGAAAGATAATTGCTTAGGGAGTGGAGAGAGATTCCCTTTCTAGCATACATAAAGCAGAGTTGCTAGGCTCTGGAATGGCTCCTGTGGAAGGAAGCAGGTCACATACCTGGGATTGGTGCAGAGCCGGTCTCTGTGAGACACCCCTCCCCCACAGGTCCTGGAGCAGGAGGACCAGGGGGACCAGTCTGACCAATGGCCATGGGTGGGCTTGGGGCCTTCATCACCGTATTTCACACACTGTCCTCCACGACACCACTAAACATTTTAAAAATAAAATTTAAAACTTTGCATGAGTCCGGGAAAGCAGCTTTGTCCCCTCTGTAACACCAAGTAAGGGGTGTGGGGGGGGGGATTTTGTAAAACAGGTGAATGTTAGAATGCCTGCACTCGAGTAGCATCTACTAAAGACATAGTTAATGTTTCTTTGTCTTTCTAAACCCGGCATCATTTGACAAAATGTGCATAAGGAAGATGATTAGATCAGTCACTCCAGAGCCCCAGCTCCTGGAACCAAGAGGCTCAACTGAAACGTGTCAGACGGACACATGGCCCGATTGTTCAGCTCCCAAGTTGATGACCTCTGACTTCTGACAAAAGGTGCTTTTTCCAGCTTGTGTTCAGAGAGTCGCGGGTGGAAGAGCCCAGCTGGAGGCCTTGGACTCAGCACCTTGTCATTTCTGGTCAGCACCTGTGATTACTCCACAACATCTGGGCTCAGGGCACTAAGCTTGGGTACTGAGCGCAGGTGAGAGGTTGCTCAGCTTTCCATGGAGATGAGGTAACTGCTCTGGAATTCCATCCATCTCCATGAAGACTAGAGATGCTACCAGCTCCTCTTGCTCAAGACAAGTGCTCAAAAATTTCAGTTCATGCTGAAATCTGCTACACCTTCACTTCTGTCACACACACACACACACACACACACACACACACACACCCACAACACTTTCTGACCCTGTTCTGTGTCCTGAGAAAACTACCCCCACCTCACAGTATGGCATTGACCTCAAGGAGCATGGCGATCTAGTCTGTCTATTGAGTGGATGGAAGGCAGGCGCCCTCCCTGGTCACTGTCCGTGTGGAGTAGGCACAGCCTGGCTTGTAGGCAGGAGACATGGCCAACTCTGTTCTTTCTCTAAGATTTGACCCACCTGCTTAGTAGTGAGCTAAAGTGCTACTTCTAAAAGAGGGGCACAACACCATGTCAACTGCCTCTTGGTGCCTAGGGGTAGAACAGCTAACCAACTAGTGACAAGTGTCCAGTGCTGACCACACAAATGGTATTCAATTGCTTCCATTTAATATTAAGCAAGAAAACTGAACTTAAAAAAACAGTTTTGAAAGCCCACTCCTCCAATTCTTTGATTCTTCTCTGTAAGACAAAAAAAATCAGGGCTGGAGAGATGGCTCATCAGTTAAGAGCACTGACTGCTCTTGCAGAGGACCCAGTTAACCACTGTCTGTAAATCCAGTTCCAGGGGACCCTACGCCTTCTTCTGATCTCCCCCCAGGCATTGCAGGACATGGGTGCACTTACACACACGCAGGCAATACACTCAAACACATAAAAAATAAAAACAATGAATAAAATATTTGAAAAAAGAAAGCATTCTCTTCCATCACTCCCTGTGCTTACTCCAGGGTACAGAACAAAGTTCTTCCAGGCGGCTCTATGCATTGAGCACCCGGAAGCTGGGGAGAACAGGACTGCTCTCAGACTCCCCTCCAGACTGAAAGAGAGGATGGAGAGGGAAGTCAGGAGCTGATATGAGCAGCTTTGAGCTTCAGGGATGAGGCCCTGGAGGGAGGAGGGAGACACAGGTGTGTTTCCTGCTCTCCTTGTTCTGTTTTAAAAACCATCTGGTTGTGGCTTTTCTAACGCAGGGCATAGCCAACATGTAAGCAAGAATCACCAAATTGGATAACTTGAAAATATTTCTGGGAAAATGTGCCCTAGTTTGGAGACGCACAAGAGATGGTGAATTCCTGCAGGAAGAGAGGCTGAAGGCAGTGGACCTGTCTCAGAGATTCAGGGAAGCAGCATGGCTTTGCCTGGTGCCTGAGGGTCACCTTGCTGCAGACCACGGCACTCGTCTGTACGCGCTAAGTCCTGGTCCCATTTACAGATTTAACATGGGTGATGACATTATAATAACTTTGAGTCTTGCTCTAAAAATTAACATTTTTAAATGGAAAATCTGAGGTGTGCCTGAAGCCAGAGCTGATGGGGTTTAGGTGTGATCTACTCTGGAATTCACACTTGGTGGATAAGTGATGCAGTTAGACACCCATTTCTCTTTAGGTCCAATTGTATCACTAAAATGTGTGCTATGCAAACAGTGTAGATTGTCACAGGGATTACTTACGTGCTTCTTCAACAATAATCTTTGATATTTTGAATAAATAATTCAATCACAGAGTAAATCAAAGGTTTAAAATAATATTCTTTGGTGTTTTATTTGGACGACAAAATTATCATTCTAGTAATAGATTTACTGTCTTAAATGCCTCTTTCTTTTCCATACCATCATTCTCTCTCTCTCTCTCTCTCTCTCTCTCTCTCTCTCTCTCTCTCGTCATTCTTGGTACTTCACAAAGCACCAATACATCTTCTTGTTAACACAGGAAGGCCTGCATAGCACTAATGCTTGTCCTTTGCTGGTCAGTGGGGTTCAGGGGTTTAATCTTTCTCTTTATTAAATACATTCATTCATTACCTACTGCCTGGCTGCTCTATATACCAATTCTAGATAGACTATTAATTTATGTCCTCAAAAGAGAACAGGTGTCCTCTGTCTGTATATTATCAGTAACAAAGAGTCCCAATGTTTTCACAGGGATGTAGGTGTGCACAGGTGTATGAACAATGCTGTAAGAAGCCAGCGTAGGAGGAGGCAGGGCTCGTGAGTTGGAAGACTGAGGTCTGAGTGGCATTGTCTGCTGCAATCAACACCTTACCATGTCCTGCCCACACAGGGTGCCCTCTGCAGCTGGCATGAATTTAGTCTCACATTTCCTTCCAATCCGATGGCACCACAGGGCTTTACAGATGTCCTAAAGGGAGGACAAACCATTAGTACTGAAAATGGCCTATACATCTGTGATAACATACCAAAGGCTCCAGGAAACAGCAAGTGAAAGGTGACATCTCCTCAGCCAGAGGAGAGCAACTCCTGAAAACCAGAGAGCCTGGACTCTGGCTTTGGATCCTCCAAATTCCACCCATGAAACTTCACCTATTTGCATTTACTGTTGTGAAATTAACAAATCTTATGTTCTAAACTAAAAAGTAAAATATGCTTAATCTAGGCATGAACGACTGCAAAAATGTAATTTAAAAAATCTAAATACCTAGAGTTAAGTGACACCTAAGTTAAGCAGACTACTACTGACTTTCCATTTCTCGAGGCACATCACATTTACATTATTACACTGACAGAAGTAAATAATGATGATTCATTTAACCCACAAAAAATATGAATAGGTCCTGAAGTGAAAAACTCTTCTTGAAAAAATTGTTGGAAACAAATTTTCATGTCCATTTGCAAAGCTTATTTGTTATACTGGAGCCATTTCGAATCTTTTTTCAGGGAATAGATCATCAGAGTATGTTATAGGCAAATCAGCTATTAAGCTGGCTTTGTTACTCCGTCTGGCTCCTTGGTCTGCTATGGCTCTTCTCTATTCCAAATGCCATGCTACAGACAGTAGTGTTAAAAGAACTTCCGTGTGAACCACCTAATGCCGTTTAGAGAAGCAGACTCGGATCCATAATTTATTTCTAGCCTTTCTTATGTTTAAGGTTTCTGTTTTCTAAACTATAACTTCTTTGTTTTTGCCAAGCTTCTGTTACTTTCTGTGAGCTGTGCTTGCAGCTTTGTCTTTTGACAAGCACAGACAGGACAATGGAATACTATACATTTATATTTGAAAATGACAGCCAAAATGTTCATATCAGTCACAAATCTAAGATGTACTGTCTTGCATGTGAGCTTCGTAGAAGTTTTTAAAACAAAAGCACCATCTCCCCCCATTGACAGTGACGTTCACTACTGGACAAGAGCTTTCTCCCAGAAAGGGTGCTTGAGGTTTCCTTTCTGCCAAGCAGTGGCGGTTCACATTATGTATCACGGTCTTATGTATACACACATAGAATCTCTGTAACTTTCATTTAGTTTTGCTCTCTTTTTAGATAGACTTGGAAGAAACTGTATCATCAATTAACATATCAACTAAGTTGTCTAACCTAAGAAGGAGTTAAGTAAAGTGTTATTCATTTCCAAGTTGCCTTTGGAGATTTGATAGGGGATTTTTCCCCCAGATTTACATCTGTGAAACACTTGACATGGTTTATTAGACAGTGAAAGTTAAAATTAAGACTTTTTCCTGCTCTAAGAGAAATGTAATTGGAATCTGGAAACATAAGTTGCTCTGTCTCCTGAATAGGCCTCATGTTGTAATGATGGGGGATGTGTCCCAGTGTCTCTCCAGCTACGAGCGCTTCTAGCTCTCTTCTGACTCATGGTAGTCGCAGTTGGATACCATCTTTTCAGCCTCGCCTTCTCCAGATGGTAAGACTCATGCATACAGAATATTAGAACTCTAAACAAAGATGACTATCATCTGAACCTGAGGTGCCTCAGTTCTCTACTGACCTTGATGGGGTTTGGAGTTTCCCGCTTCTTAACAGCACTTTCATTGTTTTGGTTATCTAGCAGTTCTTTTTGCAAAAATTTCTCTACCATTTTAACTAAAAACCGAAGGTTTGTTTTCTATCAGTGAGCAGACTGTAGAGAAACCGCCTACACCGCTTCACGTAAGGGAGTACAGGTAAGAATTAGCATTTGCATAAAGAATTTGGTCTAAAGTCCTTGAAAATAATCTTAGGGGCTTGTTGAAATCTTACCACTTTGCTAACTTATACCCCTTATTTTATCCTTACAGGTACATTTTACTTACTCATGATGAATTATCATATTTTCAGTAAGTACAGCTTGAGTTATGGTATATGTTATGAGTTATCTTAGTTACTTTAGACACTACTCTTATTTGATTTTTAATTCTTGATTTTAAATACCAAATTAAAAACTGATTTGTTGGTTGTTGCTTTTTTAAAAAACCCAAATAAAATTTTATTATTTATTCTTCTTAAACCTACTTTCCACACTAACTTCTCCACATCTGAAAGTTAATTTTTGTCATTTATTAATTTACTTATAATTAGAGTCAGAGTCTTGTTTCTGAGGCTGGCCTGGAGCGCCTAGGCTCAAACAGTCCTCTTGCTTTAGCTGCCCTAGCCGCTGAGACCACAGGCACTTGTCACTGTACCTGAATCCCCGATTTTTGAATTAATTATTATTAAGACGTTGGCTTATCCATCTACCTATCTACTAACCCTATACCCATTCCTTCATCCATCCATCTGTCCGCCTACCCATCCATCCATCCACCCATCCATCATCCATCCATCCATCAACCATCCATCCACCCACCCATCCATCCATCCATCCATCCATCCATCTATCCATCTGTTTATCCATCCATCCATCCATCCACTCAACCATCCATTCATCCATCCATCCATCTATCCATCTGTTTATCCATCCATCCATCCATCCATCCATCTGTGTGTCCGTCCACTTACCCATCCATCCATCTATCCATCTATCCATCATCCATCCATCCATCCATCCATCTGTCCACCTACCCATCCATCCATCCATCTATCCATCATCCATCCATCCATCCATCTGTCCACCTATCCATCCATCCATCCATCCATCCATCCACCTACCCATCCATCCATCCATCCATCTACCTACCCATCCATCCATCCATCCATCCATCGATCATCCATCCATCCATCCATTTGTCCACCTACCCATCCATCCATCCATCTATCCATCATCCATTCATCCATCCATCCATCCAGGACTCAGACAGGCACAATGCTTACTATCCATGCACCTATTTACAGAATTTCTGAGTACCCAAAGCAGCAGCTGGCAGAAGTGGAATGAGAGCTAGAAACAAGCTCATTGCTGGAGGTTTCATCCTTCTCTATTGAACTGAGGACACAGATATTAATTATGGAGGATGCAGAAGACACAATCAGGATTACCAAATAAAAATGGGTATTGCCGAACAGTAAAAATGGCCATAATTGATGCCCAGTGTCTACGGCTTTCTAAATGAGCAACATCTTATCTGTGATGTTGATAATATCAGTGCCTACTTTGTACAATTTTAAAGTGATTTAATTTCACCCCATGTATAATTTGATTTGTTTCTATTTTATGAATGGTCTTAGGATACCACAGTTGGTATGTTCTGCAGTCATAAAGTGAATAGCATGGAGATCAGAAGAACAGTCTAGAAAAATGCAATATTTAAACTAAAACACCAGGCTTATATCTCTTCTTTCTTAACAAATACAAGAGTATACAAAAAAGAAAGAATTCTGGGCAATCCCAAGCACTTGCGATTTGGGGGCGCCCCACCTGAGTATAGAAGAAACAAGGTGATCATGCTCACAGAGGAGGGCCTGGCCCATTCCCTGCACTTCTGAAGTACTGAGGGCTTTTTGGAAGACTGTGTATGGCTTTTGTCTATTTTATTCTTGATTTCATTATAAACTGGAATGAAAGAAACCTCAAAAGTAGTTACTTTCATTTGATTTATGAGTAGTTTTCTTTGTAGCTAAGTAGAACAAATTCTTAAATCTGGACACTCAGTGTCTGGCAGGAATGCGCATCTCTGTGTTCTGTGAAGGATTTACGCAGGAAATCACTCTGGCAACATCCTTGGGGCCACAGAGACATCACCTTCTGCGAGAAACTGCTCTATAAATACTTTATTTGGGGAATTCAATTGCCCGAAGCCCCCCAGAGACGCTGCTGCTTTCTAATAAATTATGCCTATGTAGGGGGTGGGGTGGGGAATATTGTTTCCTTAATACTATTTGAAAAAAGAATGCAGAGTATTAATTTGCCAACTTAAACTCACCAAAGGTTATTACTAAACTCCCACATGATAAATCAGAAGGAAAGATCTGACCTAACAGAACAAGTCAGCTCTCTCAAATGACAGCAGATACCCATAGCTCTACTTACCACCATCTGCTCGGCCAGTAAAACATGTGTTTCCTGTTACATCTGGCCAGCCCCAGCATATAGGATTTGACATTTGGTAGGTACCCAATAAATGCGGAATACATCACTGTCAGTTACACTAAATAAAATGGTTTTGTGAATCACAGTGCACTGAGCATTTGCCAATAATCACTTGCCTTTTTAAAGTCCAGCATGCAGAGCTTGGCTTTCTCTCCAAATTGCCACTTGCACTGTGTATTCGCGTCATATAACTGTCCCGGCAGCTCTTCTGGGTATTTGTATTCCTTCACTGGCTTTGGCCGGTCAGCAAGGCACACAGCTTGGGCAGTACTAGAGCAGACGGGGAAGCACGGTCAGGGAGACAATGTTACAGAGGGGTGTACAATCCCTTGAGCCTCCTTTTCTCATGGAATTTGATGACAGATTTTTTTAGAAAGAAGTTGACTTTTTTTTCCTCCTGAGGTACAGTATAGTATTTATCTTAATCATATTTAAACACAGAAGCTATATTTTCTGAAATTATTCATAAAATATTTTACTTTTTCCAAAAGACAAATTGCCCTTCATTAGATATCTCAAAGTATCATGGAGAAAAAAAAAAACTGAATAATTACAACCAGATGTTCAATGTGAGAGGCTGCTATCACAGAAATATTTACATACATTTTTGTCAGAAACAGTCAGACCATGAAAGCTGCCATTGTAAAAGTCAAGTCATAGTCAGACTGCCTCAATTACTACATTTTTCCTCCCT